TTTTTTTAAAGGGACTCACAACTTGCACTTAGACCTATTAAATATAGATTTTAAGATGAGAATTTAACAGAAAATTTTAAGTGCATCATCATTTGCGAAAAAATCACTATGTACAGTATACAAATGCATCAGAAATTCTCCCCAAGATGCATCAATTTTGATTTTATATTATCCTTTAGCTTGATTTTGAAAATGTATTGCCCTCTTTTATAAATGCATTAACTTGATTCAATAATGCACAATGATAGAAAAAAGCAAAGTAAAAAAAGCAAAAAAAAAAACAAACAATAATGTACATCCCTATTGAATACCAAATTGTCTCATCAATATTATCATGGCCAACAATTTTCAAGAATATAACAATATAACCACAATCCACAAATGTTTTACATTCTTTTTTCTATGCCTTGAAATGTGACTGGAGGTGGGGGTTGTGCTCAACGTAAATGCAGTATACAAAGGGGTGGAGTGCAGTACTAGTGTTCTACAATGCTATGTCTATAGAAGAAAATCTTAAAATTTCACAGCACACCAATGCAGACTAGCATAAAAGAAGACATAAAAAAGGGGTTTTGAAAAAGGTGGATCATTGTTCTTCTAAACCAATCTAGACCAGCACAAAGGGAGACTCAACAGAGGTGTTAAACTTTGAAATTCATTTGCAAAAAAAACAAAGAAGGAAGCATCCAATTTTCCAATTATATTGGATCTCTAACTCTAACAAATCTATTACTCAATGTGCAACCAATAATAATAATACTGCATCTATGTCCCATTTCGCTCCCTGCACCAACTAAATGGAGTTTTTGCACACTAAATTCCAAATTCATCCAGCAAAAAAACAAAAACAAAAACAAAAAATTCTACGTAAATAAAGACTTATTGCAATTCATTCAACCTAAATGAGCAGAAAATTAACAAGAAGCACAATTCACATGAACAAATGATTTTGAAATTGTGTGCTGTCAAACAAAAAATATCATGTTTAGCAAAAAGAATGAGAAAATTGAAACATGAATCAAAACATAAAGAGTGGAATGCCAAATTGAGAAGTGATTTGAATGTCGAACAAGAAGATTTCTTCCTCCAATGACACACCAAAGCAAAAGGAATAAAATTAAATAATTCAAAAATGTGAATTCATGAGGAGTAAATCTATGATTAGTCGTACCTAAATTAGCAAGAGAATCAGTCGGCCAATTCATCAAACATCATCTATGCTTTTTACATCTTGACTGTCGAACTTCATACAGATCCA